CCAAATGTTAGGACATCTTATCAAATAGAAAGAAAATGCCCTGTGAGATAGTTTGAATGTGCCACGGAGGTGACTGGGTTGGCCCCACATGCTCTATGCATTTCCTTACATAGATAATTTTTGTCCTTTTTGTGTGCTCTTTTCTCTAGTGTACCATGCTATATACATGTTTTGTTTAGCTCATACTTTAAAATGCGGTTTTCCACCTGGACCTGTTTGTTGACAGACATACATTAAGACATGTAGCTGAGAGAGGCAGCAGCTAGCCTTACTAAAAGCCTGGAGGTGCAGGGTGGCACTGTGAAGCCAGCCTTAACACAGCCCTGGGGTCTAAGAGACGTACCTCAACACTTGATCTGGGCTGTTTGTTTGGTGGCCAGTGGAATCCTATCTTTCCAAACAGTCCTGTAAACACACAGTGTGTTAGAACATATATTCCCAGTCATTGTCTATTTCACTTATGTTTGTTTATTTTTTAATATTAGCCTAAAAATTTAACAGGTTGCTGGAATATTAATTACATTCAAGCACTCCTGATATTTCCCCCCCCAAAATATTCAAAATGAATGCCGACTTAAGGTTGATTTACATGTAGATTTGAACAGTTTGGCCCCTTCGTGTGCACTATTAAAGCCAGATGTGTGTGTGTGTCTGGAGGGAGGGGCTTCCACAATGAAATGTTGACATTCCATAAAGTTTAACTCATCTCTTCAGGTTACTTTTTTTTAGTTAAACCTGGTTTAAATAGAGATTACATTTAGAGCTTTTGACACATCACTGCTATTTTATATTATTTTTATAAATACATTTAGTGACAAACTCATTATTAGAATCTCCTGCATCAATGCATAGATGGAGCTTTGAACTGCTGGACAGATACTGTGTTCAATTGAACACACCTCATCTATCATGATTTATGTCATGGAATTGCCCTTTAAACAAATATCGATGTCAGCTGCACTGAAATGAGTGACGTCAAATTAAATCATGGGACCTTTTCCCTAATACTCGTCACTATAGGAAGGGGATTCCTGGATATTGAAAATGTGGTTTGCAAGCTCTGCTTTTTGTAGAGCCCTTTCTTTTTCCTCTGAGTATCTGCATTTGATAGTTTTCTGCTGAATCCCAGAACTGTTTCATTGCCGTCTGTGTTTTACAGTCTGTTCTGTGTGTTAGGAATCATTACGTGGACATATCAAATTGTCAGATGAGTGGGGTGGGCCTGGGGTTCATTAAATGGGGTCAGGATTGCAAAGCACTTACTGTAATATATTGGAGTACGCCTGTTTCTTTTTTATAAAGGGGCATCTCCTCAGCTGAAGCTCTTGAGGGTTATGAGTGAAAACCGCACAGCTGTGTATCTCCCTTTTCCTTCATGTCCGGTCCTCCTACATCTTGTCCTGTTTGCCCCTTGCATCTTCTTCTTGTTTTCTTGTTTTATGTTGTCTTCGTTTGTCTATTGTCAGTATCTCTTGTCCCCCATCACATTTTGAAGCTCCCTCCTCTTCCTGTCCTTACGTCTGTATCTTTTTGTGTTAGACCTGTTGGTGCATATATGGTCATCGAGAAGCTATTTTCTTTTGTTGTTGTTTTGTTTTTTAAAGAGGAATGTTTTGGGGATAAAGAGGCTTGTGCCTTTGTAAAGACAGAATAATAAAGTTTGTACTTTGTTTTTTAAGCATTGGGCTGTGTGTGTGTGTGTGTGTGTGTGTGTGTGTGTGTGTGTGTGTCAAAATGTGTATAAAATGTGTATTTCCCTCTAAATATTGACTGTTTTGAGGGAGTAACAGTTATTATACCACTAATAATGACATAACCAGCTGAATTTGTCTCCTCTCCAGTTCTGCTTGGCTGTCACTACTAGGCAGTACAGTTGATGCCCAAGTGTCTGTTCCTGATTGGTGGCCGGGATTTTGAAGCCTTCCCCCTCCCGCTGCTCAGCAGCTCATTGCTAAATTAAGACCGACCACCTTCTCTGGGACAGTTAAAATGTACACTAGGGACATTTATTTCAAGCCTCTTGTTCACACCATCACACATTCTTTCAAAAATATCTCTTGTTTTTGTATCCACAGATGGTCAATCATTCCTAATATCTGTCCAAAATGTACACTGGCACTTATATTTGAAATTCAGTTGTGGGATTTGGACCAAATAGCACAGCTACAGTTGTGTTCAAAATGATAGCAGTCCAATATCACTAACCAGACCAATCACTGTTTTTTGTACAAATTATATTCCTACATGTCAAATAAGTTACTAGTAGGTGAAGTAGAGTAATAGAAAACCAACAGACCCAACAGTCACGGCATGCATGTTGCTGAGTCTGTGTAGTTGAATCATTAATTGAAAGGAGCATGTTCAAAATAATAGCAGTGTGAAGTTTAAGTAATGAGGTCTTTCATTCTGTGAAAAAACAGGTGTCAAACAGGTGGCCTTTATTTAAGGATGAAGGCAGCAAATGTTGTACATGCTGGTTATAATGCATTTCACTCTGACAATCGGAGAAAAATGGGTTGTTGCAGACATTGTTCAGAACAACTGCGTACTTTGATTAAAAAGTTGATTGGAGAGGGGGAAAAATATAAATAAGTGCAAAATGATAGGCTGCTCAGCTAAAATGATCTCAAATGCATTAAAATGGCAACCAAAACCAGAAAGACTGGGAAGAAAACAGAAAACTACTATTTGAATGGATCGAACAGCCAAAATGCCGAAGAGTCTCCCAATGATCAGCTCCAGGGAGATCAAAGAAGGTGCAAAGTTACCTGTGAGTACTGTTAACAATTAGAAGACACCTATGCGAAGCCGAGCTATTGGCAAGAAGCCCCCACAAAGTCCCATTTCTGCAAAAACGACATGCTGAAGAGGTTTGCCAAAGAACACATTGACTGGCCTAAAGAGAAATGGCACAATATTTTTGTGGACTGATGAAAGCAAGATTGTTCTTTTTGGGTCTAGGGGCCGCATACAGTTTGTCCGACGTCCCCCAAACACTGAATTCAGTCCACAGTACACCGTGAAGACAGTGAATGTATAGTACATGCAGTTTCTATGTGTCTTGATGAACTGGCTTGAGGCTTTACAGACTCATCAGCCATGGTTCATTACTGATAGTTGTTTATATATGCTGTTATTTTTCATTGCCAGTGATCAACATCAAAGCTGCAGCTAACATTTTAAAGGCGCACTTGGAAAAAGACTGCAACGGATACCAGTGCTTGTCATCTGTAATTAAGAAAGAATTAATGTTCACCAGAATTCATGAAAGCTCCTCAAAAGTACAGATGTTCTGAAATCATCATGCCTCTCAGCCACATCCCAGCACCAGTGAAGGTCCTCCGGATTAAGTCAGTTTTACACACCAAAATGAACATGCAGTATTGTTTGGACACGCTTCCCAAGTCATTTGGGAAGGACATGCTCGAGTAAGAAACTCCTGCCATATTTGGAGATTAATTTACAGTTGAGATGTTGATTCCCAAGGAACTGTGAGATTATGTTCAGCACAGTGTGTCTGCTTGAGTGTGATAAAGCAGTAATCCGCCTAGCATTTAGCTATGTTAGGGATTCTAGGTTGATTCAGGGGTCTTTACGTTCCAAACACGCTCTCCTCAGCTCTCATCACACAGTCTTACGATGAGTTCTTCCCAGCATGGCAGCCAAGTGAGCATTGTGTCTGCCTTAGTAGAATAAAGGTTTGAAAGCTCCCTCCAATGCCAGACCCTCATTTACTTGAAGCATATTTACTGCAAACAGTTTGTGAAATGAAGGCGATGAAGTTTTTACAGTCATTTGATCATCATTCTTTGTAAGGCAAAGCAATCATGGTAGCTCATTGTGAAGGATGCAATTCTTAATTTATTTATTTCATCATTCATTTAGAGGAAGACACTGCCTTTTCAGTCTGTTTACCTGTAGTAACTGCATCTTAACAGAACACTGTAGGTTTGGGAAATGCACTTTCATACTCATTTAGATTACCACTCTCATATTTGTAAATATAAGACTATGAACTGGTTATCTTAGCTTAGATTAGCTCAGCACAAAGACTGGAGCTATAGCCTGTTATGTTGTGTCTGTTTAATCTTGTACAAAAAGTTTAACGCTATGAAATATGCCATATAACCCCCGTAAAACAGTGAACTTATGTTTTTACACTTCAGTTTTTGTACGGCTCAAACAAACTAAATATAACGTGTTAGTTAGTGAACTAGAGGTGCTAGTAGGCAAATTTTGTTACCTTTGGACAGAGCCAGGCTAGCTGTTTTTCCCTGTTTCTAGTCTTTGTGCCATGCTAAGCTAATGCACAGACATGAGAGCGTGTCAAGAAAACACATTTCCCAAAATGTCAAACTATTGCCCTGAAGGCTCATTGCACTGAAACATACAGCTAGCCTGCCCTTTCTCCAAAGTTCAAACATCTTGCTAAACCAACACTGCTAAAACTCACCTTATGTTTTGTTTGTTTAATTGGAAATTGAAATACACAAAAGGCTCTTGATTCATATGCTGAGTGGTATCAATGTTCTCATCCATCTCTTGAGAAGAAAGAAAAAAGCATATTTCCCAAAATGTTGAACTTTTCCTTTAATAGCAATCTTCTTAGAGTTGGACCACTTATTTCTTTGCCAGTCACAGTTAAATATAAGTTCTTTTAAAACATATTCCAGTCTCTAAAGCACAAATTTTTAATTACAATGAGGAAATGTAAATGTAAAGTTATCCTCACTGAGGAGTTGAGTGATTCAGCACTGAAACATAAAGCCAGGTCTTGGTGCATTGATGCCGAGGCCCAAGCTGCGACCTCTCTAAAAAGGAGAGTCAGCTGTTTGTACAAGTAGAGTCCCTGTGGCATGCTATGACTCCTGCAATACCTCCAACACAGAGATCTCAGCCCCTCCACCAGCTGGCCCTCTCTGTGTCCCGCCCCTTCTCTCTGCATGCCCTTTAACCTTCCTGCCTTGGTATATATAGTCTTTGTGACTATCAGAGTTCTCCTGGCAGCCATCATGAAGGGTACAGTCTTGATCTGCTGTTTCCTCTCCCTGCTGCTTTTGCAGGCCACAGCAGGTAAGAGTTTTGGTAAGCATTTTGGTCAAACATCTGGTGGATTCCTCCTGTTTTATGTTGGGTGGTGCACTGCGGGAACGAGATATGTGTGTGTACAAGTGTTGCCAATGAATGAAATAGTGATGTGGTGTAAGTTTTAGAGGCTGGTTTAATGAATGTTTGCTATGTTAGCTTGATCATACAGTGACTCTTCAGAGATGTGATTCAGACTGTTATAGGGATCAGGAATGGGCCAAAAGTAGGTAGTATAGGTAGGATCTTGTGTCCGTTGTGTGGGCAGTTTGTCATGAATGGCACTGGCTGTACGTGGGGACGGTGACAGTCATGGAGGCACCAGCCAAGGATAGAAAGAGACAGAAATGTTACCCCGGTCTTTCTTTGCCACCAAGCAGGACTATTTAAAATCTGTCACATTATAATTAAACAGATAGCACCCAGTACAAAATGAAAGATTTAAGGGCTCTTTCTTGTTTTTATTAATTATAAAAATCCAAAACAAACACAGCACTTTAATGCCCAACGCTTTTAATGTATGGACAATTTTCTCATTATTTTTGGGGACTTTCTGAAGGCGAGCAGTTGAGGATTATTCAAATTTGAGTTCTGCCTCTCCTTTGGACTGACAGCATGTCAGCTGTTCTAAGCATGGCACCAGCTGATGGAAAGTCTTAGTCTAACCAAGGAGAGAACAGCCACGCGGGAGCTTGAATTGACGCTGAGCTTTTTGTCACCTATACTTCTACAGTTGTAGATTTGATCTCTTTTCTTCATTCTTGAATTCTATTTTCTACAACTTGGTTTAGAAGAATTTCTCCAGACTTGATATGCCTGCAGGGGCAACATTTCCTGTGATGATAATCCATAGCATCATAAACTACAGGGATCATGACAATCCCACAATAAATGTGATTGCATGGCATACATGGAGTTCACTGTCATAGTGACAACAACTTCTCCCAGATTACCCATTGTAAAAATGCAGACTGGTCTGGGTCTGGACTGGAGCGGCTGGCGTTACCCTTGTCTGTCACCCTTGTCCGTCCTTGGGGTGGCGTTCAGCTCCAGAGCCCAGGGTGCAGGCCTCCATATTCCAGGCTGCTGTCAGGTGCCTAAGATTGGAAGGCGTGCTGAAACTCAATACTGTTCACTACAGTTTCTCCCTCCCTCTGCTCGACTCTCCTTCCCTCCTGATTCTCCACCCCTCCCAGCCCCATGCTTCCCTTTAGATACACTGCACAGCTGCTGTCACTCTGCACTGTCACAATCGCAATTTATTCCCAGCAGTTGGCCTTATAGGGACATGCATTCTCCAGGCAGGAGGGGCCGGGCTTTGGATGCAACTCATGCCTTTACAGACCCCATCTGCAGTCCCGTGCAGGTGTCTATTGGTCATCTCTAAATCTACTGCATGTGCATATTGATTTGTTTTTGCTGAAGAGTACACAGGAATTTTGGTTCCAGTACCTGCCTGTTCTGAATAATTATGAGAATCATGAACTTCTCGCCACTTAGTGTGTAATTATTTGTGTTACTGATTGGCTTGATCGCTGTCAGGAACTCCACTGAAGTAGCTGAATCTGCAGAGCGGAGCAGAAAGGGTAATCTCCTTCCAAAGAAATGTAAAATTGATTTGCTATCATTTCATCACAGGTTGTCTAACAGCCCTGACCGTGCAGATTTACAAGTCCAAAACCTATTCTAACACTATAATTTAGTAGATTTTGTCGATTTTGTAGAAGAGCTATGTGTATGAAGAGAAATAAAACTGGTAGCAAGAGCAGGGACTACACATTGACATGATAATCTTGATGTTGTGAAATCTTACCCTCATTTCTGTCACGTGTCTCTGGTTCAAGGCTGAAGCCTGTAGATTACGTTAGCAACATGCACTGAATCAATTGATTGACAACATGACTTGTGGACTTTCTAGAAGGAATAATTTTAGTATAACATTGATTTGCATTCCTCTTTGTATGGTTGGGTATCATTAGGCTCTGGTGCAGGTGTGTGAACACACCTTTAGGTGTGGTAAGTAAGTATCTAAGGTGTGAACACACCTTCATCTGCCAGGTATGGAGTGCTTCCCAGATAGCTTATCTGACTCTGCCACAATATTTCCTTCCGTCATTTACCTGCAGGTGTAAATAACTTCCATCTTCATGCCAAAGCGAGGTGCACAGGAAACCTGTGTTTTTTTGGGTGGTGTGAATGGTTCAACATACGTTACGTGACTAAGCTGGTTCCACAAATCTGCTCACTACCAGGGTTTTATGTGGGTCTGACACTGCTCTGTCATGTAATGTGGGGGTAAACATAGGTCATTATTGTAACTGTGGGGTTATTATAAGGTTGCAAGAAACCTTACACTAACCAGGTCTTGTGTGAATGGTGCTGACTGACCAAATGGGGACTGAAGCTGTGTTCAGTGTCCGGTGTCATATGCGGTGTTTGAGTGTGAAAGGCGTTGAAGAGAGATAGACAAAAATGTCATTAGTGCAAATGTAATTACAGCATATTGCTAAAATACAACTATCAGAATCCGAGAGCTGACTTTTAAGATATACAAATATATCACAACCTCTTTGGGACCTTGATTAGTTCTTCACACCAGTGTGTTTATACTTGAGTGGTAATACTATCCATCCTCGATACAGTAAAAACATCTTTGGCCTCCTCACTTAGCAGGGGGAAGACATTGAAATTTAAAGGCACACTGTCTCCACGTGATCCTCTGTGATGGCATGTGGCATGTCTGGGACATCCCTCCGCTGGTAGTAGTAGAAGGGACACACCAGTCATACTCAACTGCTTTACTACACACCCCTCTTTAAGACGAGCCCCCCAGTCCCAAGGACACCTGACGTCCTTTCCTGGCTTTCTAACAGGAGAGCAGGGATAGAGGCATCAGATCAACACCTCAGCTTAAAGTGCCTTTGCCATTGCCTCTTCCTTTGAGCCCGTTATTCAACTTAATGTCTAGCTGTCAGTGAGCCCTTAGAGGACTTACACTGTGGATATGGCTCACGTAAGATGGCCTGTAAGGGTCAAACCTTAAAGTCAGGTTGTTTTGATTTTACTGTAAAACAAAATACACTGAACCTAAAAGGGGGTCTGCCTTGTAGAAGTAATGATGATTGAATAGTGCTGTATTTGAAACTACTGTACCAGGACGGGAGTGGTCCTATTACAGTAACTCTCGCTTAGCCTGCACGTAGATACACAGTCAGTTCTAAGGGATGTAAATGTCTCTGGGTCTCCACACTGACTAACATAAAAAACCCTAAAATAGGAGACGGCCATTCTGCCTCCTCCTCTGTCCATCTTCTTACCCATTGTGGGTCTATTTTTGACTATGGGGGAGTATCAGCTCCACAAACTGTGCCACCTGTTGCCATCCGTGGCCTCCCCTCACCACCACTGCTCTCACATCTCTGATTGACTGACCTAACTGCTAATAGAAGAATCATCTGCATTTTTATGGTTATAGGTTCGTTTAGCATTAATTAGGCTTTGTTTTTAGAGAACTGCATGTGCTGCTGTGTCCTTCTAAAATAAAATATAAAATAAAAATAAAATTGCTTGTGTTTGTCACATGCAATTTTAATCATTTTGTATTTTGAAAACCAGTGACTATGTACAGTAAACATTGCCCATCCTGTTTAAATTGATGCTTCTGCATGGATCTATCCAGTGGAACCCCCTGGCCTTCATTTAAGGTTGCATGAATCCCCCGGGGCTCAGGATAAATCCCCTGCCAGGTCTGCTGGCCTCATCATGTTCAGTTTAATTCAATTTTCCTCCACTGTGCTACAAGCAGAACATGATCCTAGGGTTTTACACATACACATATACCTAATATATACAGTGTAAATGCACTGCAGATCCACACTAGCACACATTCATTCATTTGTCTCCATTTCATCTGACTCTTCCTTGCTATGTATTTATTACTATGTCACAAACCATACTGTTGCATGTACAAGAAGTACGAGGCCCTCTCCTCTTGGCAGAGTCATATGAAAATGTGTTTATATATATTCCTATTTTTGTAGTAAAATTCAAATATCTCATGAAAGGAAAGGTGGTCTTTGAACATGAGCAGCATATTTGCACAGAAGTTTCATTCTTACAGTAGTTGATTGGCATTCTTTCTGATGATTGAATAACCTCCACACTAGGATCTATAGTTGAGGCATGACTTACCCAGCTGCTGAGGCCGTGGTCTTATATCACCAACATTCCTAGTGGATGTGCTGATGCCGCCAGAATGTTTCTCCAAACTGAGGGAGGGTCGTGTGGCAACGGGCTCACTGAGGACACATGGTCCCGAGTACAGACGTCCAGGGTTCAACTCTCCTGGCGCCTGCAGGGTTAAATTTGAGCGCTGATGCAAGGTTCGCCTTCTGCAGGCAACACTACCTCTCTGATCTTTCCGGAGCTCTGTCCCAGGGCTTCCATCAGGGATTGGGAGGTGTTAACACGTTCACAGCAGTTAAGGCCCACTCAAGAGGCTAGTGTTAAAAGACACGACTCTTCTGAGTGATGAGTCCAGTTACAGAAGCTTGAGTATGCTTTGTGTGCTGCAGGGATGGGCCGTGTTCCTCAAAAGCCACTTCAGCCTACAAGTTGAATCATCTTGAGTATCATCTGGAAGCTGACTCACACTGACTGTTGTGTGATTCATCTATTCTTTACTCAGTTTAATTTCTGTCCTTGCAATGTTTCTCTTTGAGCATCAGGGGATGCTAAATGGCCGCCATGTATCACAGATAGTGGCACACGATAACCTCACTTATTTATGTTTCTAAAGGTCATGTAATCAAAAGCAATTTTGCATAGGCATGTAGCAATCATCTGTTTTATACTGGCTTATTTTAAATGCCTTTAATTAAAGATACTTTTATGTCATTTATTTATTTTTTGTTTGTTTGTTAACTTTATTTGACACTGTATTGAGTGGAGTTGCAAGAGAGACAGATTAACCCATTTTCTCTTGCACTGTTTTGGCAATAGCTGCTATTCATCCTCTTCTCTTATGGCCCCACCCTACGCTCTTGAGAATTCTCCTTAAGAATAAAGACTAAACTCAAAGCCCTTTACATGTTTAAATACTTACTGTCATATACATAGATTAGTTACAGAATCTTTTTAGGGATTGCACCCTCATACCCTCCTTTTATTCTGGCTGCTAACCTTCTGGCTTCTCTTATTCTTGCACCGTGCTGGGAGCAACATTACACAGACTTATTTTTAGCAGGTTGACTCGGGGAGAATCAGTGGTGCTACGCTGTTCCTTAACTGGCAGTGTGTGTCACTGCTGCCACACAGCAAAGGAGCAACTGTTGGAAAGCCATACAATATGTTATTGTGAGGGGTCTTTTATGGTCATTACATTTTTGTTTACCATTGCCCATACTCAAATGCTGCTTTTGGACTTTTTTCATGCATTTTTCATGAATGGGGAACACTTGCTATCTCTGCCTCAGTTGGCAAATTCCTGTATTTAACCCAGTTAATTTTATTGAATGTAAATCTATTTGTACTTTAAAGACCTTTGGTTCATAAATGTAAACAAGTTTCAGCTTCAACTTGTAAACAAACAGGCCTTCAGATGATTTTACTTTTGGACAAAGTGACTCCTGATATGAAACACTAGAAATCACTGACGACATACAGTGGCTGCACTCCAGGCAAAAGTGCAGGATGCCATGACAGTGCTACCCTCTGAGAGTTTTGAGTCTTCTAATATTGATACAGCCACAAAGCAAGACTGTGAAATGTGCTCAATGTGAAAGATGAGGTTACCCTGCTATTGTATAGCCCTTTTACAAGTACTAACATACACACACACATTACAAGTGGCATACAATGAGAAACAAATATTTGGCGAAATGGTCGCTTTGATTATGCAATTTGTAATATTGTAAACATAAAAACTTCTCAAATGTCCGCATTAATAAAAGATCAGTCAAAAGAGGAAAAATTTTGTAAATCATTGCTTCGATATGATACACTTTTCTGCTTAGTACACAGAAGGAAACACCAACCAATGACAGCTATGAAAGTATGTAAACATGTGAATGAAATTAAGTAGTATTTGAAGGGAATTTGGTGAAGTTGCTGGAAATGGGTTTATGGAGAGTAAGCTTGAGTGTTTACATTCTGTTGATCCAGACAGAACCTTCTTGTGAGGAGTGCTGACATGGTCAGAAAACATGAATATATATATATATATATATAGCTCTTGGAACAACAGCCTAATAGTTATTCATAGTGGTGTTGAGTTCCAGATCAATATGCTGTTACAAAACAAACTTTCAATCTTGTTTTAAGATGAAGCCAAGGATTTCTTTTGAAATATATTAGTACGTTTTCTGTGCCACTAAACTGAATTTAACTGGGCTGCTATGACAGGTGCAGAAGATGTGATTATATAACATAATCAATATTCAGATTATGCCATGTGTTTTACACAGTGTAATTTACTAGGGAATGACTACAATTAATCACCCCTACATCTGCTACAATCAGCTTTAATATTCCACTAACATCCTTTAAAATTCCCAAACAACTCTATTAGGGGAGTGTCTAGTTGCTTGGAAACCCATAACCCACTAGGGCATGGAAGGGGGTACAAGAAAGACTTCCCAACTGCTCCTATATATAGTTCACAGCCGTAGCAGGATTGTCTGGAGCAGGACAGTGTGGGAGGCATTACAGGGAGGCCTGGGCACACAAGGACAGGCCTCACAGCGCGAGAAGTCTGTGATAGGTGGGTAAATATAGAAGAGAAAAGACAGAGGATTGCAGATCATTGTCTCATCATGTATATTACTGATGGGAACAGTCAGTCCAGCCCTGATTTCTCCTCCCAGTAAGCTGGGGGGTAAACTGGGGAAATCCCCCTCTCTCTCTGTCACTTTCTTATGTTTGCTGTTGTTATACAGCCAATGGTGATGCCAAACAAACGTCTGTGTCTGTTTATTTCCAGCGTTTGCTTTCTAAATTAAGAACTAATTGTACTAACAGCTGTGATCTAAGTTGACATGGCACACTGGTGAGCGGATATGTTCTCTCAGATTTTCTCTCTCTCTATCACACATGCACAACATTGAAGGGCGCCAAAATGTAAGCCACTTTGGGAACAAAAAGCTCCAAATATAATGCATGTACATTGAAGGAAAGTAACCCATTTTTCCATAGAGAACCCTACAAAAAAATTAAACAACAAAAGACTTCTAACTCCAAAGCTCCAAAAATTCATGAAAATGCATTTTGATGAAAACAGAGATTGTCATCTTTTTAGATTTGTTTTGTGTGTTTAAGAAAAGTGACACTGATTTCTGCACATTATGTAAATAATAAAACATAAAAAACATAACCAATGAATTTGTAGTGCTCACACATGGTGAAGTTAGGTGTTCCCAGTGTTCTCATGTTCAAAGCACATAAATAAGGGTCTCTCAGAACTGACTGAAAATAACTGAGGGGATGATTGGATTTCCCTGTGGCATATGTTCTGTGCTGAAAAGTATCACACGGCAGGGAATGAAGCAAGAAGTCTGCCACATCACCAACAAGTATCACTTATTCATGCACTGATACTTGTCATTCTTGCCAGAAACTTGGCAAACATTTGATGGGTGCTGGCATGCAGTGAACACTCTTTACTCATAAATACATTCTGTATTTACAAAGATAACGGTAAGACAGAGAGATGGATGGAAGTGAAGACAGCAGAAAAGACGATGTTAGAAAAGCAATTTGTTGTACAACATTTACATGCCACATTTGATCATGTGACAGCACAAATATCCTGTATGTCAGAATTAATTTTGGCAATGCAAAACTGTCATCCAGCGTTTATTCGATCAACTCTGTCACACTAAAATTCCTGGTGACACATTTTGAGACGCTTGATGTGGTGATTGATGAGCATCCAGAAATAGCAGCACCGTCTGCCTCTGTAGCAAAGCTTTGTTGAACATGTACTGTATGTCATCAGCCCCGGTGTGAGCTTCATAATGAAACTGTCACTGGATTTGTTTGCACCGAGTCTGGCCACCTGGGTCCACTTCCTTTACACCTTTATCAGACCATTAAAGACGTACACTGAGGACTTTAACCAAGTTCAATTTTGTTAATATTGTTTTTGCAGATGAAGAAGTGGAAGATTTCACCACCGTCCTCAGAGACAGATCTCACATCGACGAGACGCTGCGACTTGCAACTGAGGAAAAAGCAGGAGACTATGCAGGTGAGGTCATTATTCAGCAGATGTGTGTTTTTGCTTAGACTATACAACAGTTTAGGGAAAGCATGTTAAGCAGTTCAATTTTAAAAGTTTCTTACAAACTTACAAGTTTCTTCCTAATTTAGGATTTTTATTGCAACACATAATCAAGGAAGGCGGTTGACTATTAGAGTGTGTATTAAATCTGGGGTCACAAAATAAATCTAAGAGATGGTTAACAAAATAGAATCAATATTAAAATAGTTTGCAACATAAAGTTTTTCTTGTGATGTATTTTAAATATTTGCTGGATAATTCAGGCCTCCAAACATTAGATACCACAAGAGCTGGTAATAAGCTGGCTATGAAATTGCCCCTCACCTATTTTTAAACATCTTTTTCATCTTTATCATCATTTCCTCTTGCTTCTCATCCTCCAGCGGCTCTGGAGAGGTTGCGGAAGATCTACCACACGTCCATCAAGCCGATGGAGCAGGCCTACAAATACAATGAGCTGAGGCAGCACGAGATTTCAGGTATCACAGAGGCTTCGGCTACGTCTGCACTGTGGTCTGATGTGTGGGGTTTTCTGTTTGGGTTGCTTTGGTGACTGATTTATTGATCTGTTTGTACACACATTAAATTTTTGGAGCTTTTATTGTATGTTATTATTTTGTATTTGGGCTCTCTGACTCACTGTTATATGAAAATATGGGCTGTGTGATATGTTTATGATCATGCAGAGGTCATGTGTAGGCTCTTAGGCACACTAAAACATTGTTGGTCCAGGAAAAAGCTAAAAGTAGTACCATTTTGTCTAAATCACTCCATTCATGCCACTTTAAAATATTTCTTCCCCTTTTCTTCTCTTAATTTTCCCCCAATATTTTTTGTAATGTCCCTGTTTGTTTTTTCAAATGATTTTGCACTGTGCAGGGTTTCTTCACTGCCAAGAACAAACTCTACATCCCCACAGTGCAAGAAAGCCCGCCCTCTTGTGGCTTCTTAGGCTTGGCATACATGCAAACATGTCAAATGTATCATGCCAACAAATGAACAGTTATTTTTTTATAGAAGAGAATTAAAAACTACAGACAAAAAATTTCCCTGAATTGCCTGACCACAGAGGCACACCATCCACTTGTCGACAGACATGTTTGACACATTAGGTCAAATATGGGACTAGATCTCATTCCCATTCGTGCACATTGTTACCCCTCCCTATTTCTTCTAAAAAACCTCACACCCTCACTCCTTACTCTCCTCCACGTCCTCTTCCCTTCACTTCTCTGTGCTCCACCCTCTCCCGTCCATCCCCATCTCCTCCACTCCCCTCATCTAACAGCCTACCCCGGACGAACCCTGGGGGACTCAGCCACAGGTGGGTGTGGGCGAGGCTTATCTGTGCATGGCACTGCCTGAAGTGCTCCGCCCCTTCCTTTCCCCCCTTCATTTGTCCTCACACATTTGTGAGCTACTTAGATCCATATAAACACTGCACTGCTCCCTGTGGGTCAAACATTTCAAGCACGTTTCACTTTGAGTGACACCTATCACTGAGTGGGCATCATCAAAGTGATCCACAGGTGAAAGGTTCAACCCATCGAGGGCAGGGCGCAACAGTTTTATACACAATCTTTACTCAAAATGGATTTACACTTTCTTTATTTACTTATTTCAACCAAAACTCCAATTCCATACTAAAGAATTAAAAGGGAAGAAATGTAAACAAAAAGTTAACTTATGGATATTTAGCTTGTTAGTGTTTAGGCAGCACGTTGTCTACAGCATTCACAGAGAGACCAAGCATTCAGTTGTTTAATTTTGAGTGTAAAATTTAAAATATGGAGGGGGTTGCATGTGCAGTTCTGGCTTCAGCAAAGGACACAAGTTTTAGGAGGGGACACTGGTGGGAAAATGGTGGTCAGTGTTTGACTACGAGTGAGCTGACTGACTTTTTTTCACACTCATTTTTTAAAAAATGATTTAAAAATCCACCTCAGGGGTGGTTATTTTAAAATGATGAATAGTTTAGTTTTTTTCAGTGATGGCATTTTCTCTGTTTTATCCTCATTTTCTGTTTGGACCAGTAGGTTATAACACAATTTTCCTGTGCACTACCAAAACGACACAATGTCCACTCACAACACACGTGACAGCTGTCACTCAGCTTGCTCTGAAAGCCTGTTCAGTCTTATGTCAAGAGTAATGGCTCGGCTTTGTCGTGTGTCACTGAGATATGGCTGCAGCATTTCATTGAAATGTTTTCTATGCTTTTTTTTACAATTCTTATATTTTCTAACAGCTTTGAAACACGTTTCTTTGCCTATCTGTCTTTTTTCTTCTATGTCAGTCTTACAAAATAGTCCTCTGTGCTCTGGAGTGTACGTGCTATTCTGACTTGCATCTTGGTTGAAGCATGTCAGAATAGCACTAGGGGTTCATCCCAAAGTAACCCCAGAAACCATTGTTCTTCTTATGAGGCACAAAAGGAATGGACACTGTAGCAAACACCAGCTTCTTTTGGCAACATGTCAATATTGAACAGCTCAAGTTCCCACACCTTTTCTTATCAACAGGAAATCATTTTTCACACAATATTTGGGATGAACTTGAGAGGTTCTTTGAATCATATAGCCATCCATTTGAGATTTTAATCATTGTTGTCTCTCCTTCCCCTTACAGATGGAGAGATTACCTCTAAACCCATGGTGCTGTTCCTGGGACCCTGGAGTGTAGGAAAGTCCTCCATGATCAATTACCTCCTGGGCATGCACGACAGCCCCTATCAGCTTTACACAGGTATGTTCCACATATTTTCATTTTAAATTAGCAACAAACAAAGTTTAATGTTGAAATCATTTTACTACAATCCAATAATGATGACGTAACCCTAAAAAGCTATCATAAATCTACAGGACCATTAGAGCGGCAGCTGCCTTATCTAAATCGTACATGGTTTAATGTGTAAATGCAACACTATCAATGTGATTATTAAGTGGCAATCAGCACCACAGAGGTTTTGTTGAATTAGAACAGTGATTTCTGGCAACTGTAAATTTGTTTAAAGTGGTTATAACTGATGTTTTTGTTAATAACAATAACAATGTGAAAACAATGTGTAATGTGAAAGGGATAAAAAAGAGTGTTACGGCCTGAAATTGCAGCTTCCCTCGGCTTTAGGGAGTTTCATAATAGCTTTCAGCTTATTGTTTATCTGTCTGTTCACTGGGCTGTTTTCTCAGCAGAAATTCTCTAAAAACTGTACACTACCTGCTCAGCACCAAAGTGCACGGTAGTCACCAGCTGGTGAACATAGTGGAACATTTAGCATATAAAGAGGCAGGAGTTGGTAGAGACTAAAAACAGAGCTAAAAGAGAGTGAAAATTGGACTTACATTCGCCGTGGCAAAAACATGACTCCGAATGAGTGATGTTGCTCCATAACTACTGAATGTGTAAATAAGCAACTGTTTGCTAACAGGTTCGCCATATCAACTTAAAAGGTGATGATTTGTCAGTGTTGTCTTCACAACTGACCCTGTGTGGCCAAAGATCAGTTATTGCAGGTTTCCCCAGTGTATACACAAATCTCTCATCTCTGCCTAAATCTACTCAGTGTTTCCCAATCTATTTTCCTTCTTGAGACTGTTCTTGCTAATCTCTCTCTTTTGTCCTATCAACTTGTCTTCAGGAGCTGAGCCTACTACCTCTGAGTTCACTGTAATTATGCATGGGGAGAAGATCCGCTCTGTTGAGGGTATTGTTATGGCAGCAGACAGCTCTCGGTCCTTCTCTCCCCTGGAGAAGTTTGGCCAAAACTTCTTGGAAAAGCTGATTGGTATTGAGATGCCCCACAAGCTGCTGGAACGTGTGACTTTTGTGGACACACCAGGAATCATTGAGAACAGGAAGCAGCAGGAGAGAGGTAAAACCTTCTGTTTGCAGATTTTCACATATTACACTTCTTGTACAAAGTAGTTGGCTGCAATCTGTATTCAGTGGTTTACTTATTCTCTTCTTCCGTCCAGGCTATCCTTTCAATGATGTTTGCCAGTGGTTCATAGACCGTGCTGACCTGATCTTCGTGGTGTTTGATCCCACCAAGCTGGACGTTGGCCTGGAGCTGGAGATGCTCTTCCGGCAGTTGAAGGGTCGTGAATCCCAGATTCGCATCATCCTAAACAAGGCTGACAACCTGGCCACCCAGGACTTAATGAGAGTCTATGGAGCGCTCTTTTGGAGCTTAGCTCCTCTCATCAATGTGACTGAACCCCCCCGCGTCTACGTCAGCTCTTTCTGGCCATATGACTATGCTCCTGACACCAGCCGTGAGCTTTCAAGCGAGAAGAGATCTCCCTCCTGGAAGATCTGAATCAGGTGATTGAAAACCGCATGGAAAACAAAATCGCCTTCATCCGGCAACATGGCATCCGCGTGCGCATCCACGGCCTGCTGGTAGACCGCTATGTCCAGACCTTTAAAGAGAAGATGAGCTTTTTCAGTGACCCTGATCTAGTCTTCAAGGAGATTGTGGATGACCCAGACAAGTTCTACATTTTCAAATCCATCCTAGCCAAGACCAATGTCAGCAAGTTTGACCTGCCCAACCGCGATGCTTACCGTGACTTCTTTGGCATTAATCCAGTCACCAACTTCAAGCCCCTGACGGCTCAGTGCTCTTACATGGGAGGCTGTCTGCTGGATAAGATTGAGAGGGCAATCACCAATGAGCTGCCTGCCCTTCTGAGCAGCATTAACTCTGGCAAGCAGCCTGGCCTGTCCTCCTGTGAGGTCACTGGCTGTGGTGAAAAGCCAAAGAATCGTTATCGGAAGAACTGAGGAAAACACAATAACTTGAGTGGGGGAAGTAAGAAGAGAAAGTGTCTGATGGAAGCCAACCCTGTTTTTGTCAGAATGCCTGTATTGTTGAGGAGACAGAAGAGAGGAGATTAGTGTTTGTTTTTTTCCTCAGGAGAATATGGGGAGGTGCATTTAGGAACCATGGGAATGAGGAAGATAGAGGGAGGGAAGGGTCATTGTTTGAAAAGGCAGCTTAAGGACACAAGTGCTGAAGAAATGAGAACATGCCACTGATCACTGAGTTTCATTTAAATACACGCCCTCCTCTCTCCCTTGCACAATCACAGTGGACTGTCTGAATTTTTGGGGGATTGGGGAAGTGATGATGTGATGAAACACAGACACAGAAAAATAAAAATTTAAAATCCCAAGACTGAAAACAATCAAATACCAGCTCCCTTGTATGTGAATAAAACGGGAAAAGTGGAAACAGGAGTTACAAATTTGTGTTGTAAAATCTTGAGAATTACATTGCAGAAAGTCAATTCCATAAGCTTCAGAAGCTGTTTTTAAGTAGCCATTTTGTGGGTGCTATACAAAGCGTCTGTATTTGGGAAATCTGCTTTTGACATAAATAGAACATTAACATTGCATGTTAGGCGTCACGTTGTATTAAACAAATGCATGCATTTCCTTCTAACATAAAGTTTAAGTAATATTTCCTCATTTAACTGAAACTAGAACCCTGCCATGCAACAAATACGGCCTTTTTCTTAGTTTTGTATGCTTGTCAGTCCTGGTTGTTGACAACCTGTAAGATGAGCACTGTGATGGAAGCAGAGGTCAGGGTTCAAGGGTCAGAGTCTTCAAAGCGGGGTTGGTATGTCCATTCTGCTTCACTTCTTAACTGATCTTACTGTTTCTGTTTCTGCATTTCTGCGTCTATAAATTTGCCAGTCTTTGGCAAAAATTCAGTACCGCGTTGTAAATGTTTTTGTCCTTGAACGATAAGCTTCCCAGCTTTTTGAAGCTGAATGACCATAAAAAATGACACATGAAGGATGCCTTTGGATTATAGCTACCTTTAGCCATTTGTTCTGCAGGTTAGAAAGCTATTTACTGATTTTCCTGTGTAAACTTTCCAAATGGGCATTGAAGTAGGCTGTGAATGTATACTGAAAAATCCTGCTACGCAATTTTACAAACCACCACTGCAAGATTATAAAAGTTGATTTCTTAGCTTGCAAAAAGTGGGCTGGAGGTAAAGGTGAAGTGGAGGACTCATGAGCTGATCCCTGACCTCTGTGGAAAGAAGGAAGACCCAAATACTAACCTTTACACCCGACGGTTTTGCAGTGATACATGTCATAGCTGCGAGTTCTTATGTAAGCCTACCTCAGTGAACTTCCCAGGACTATGGCATGGTAAAACTATTAAAATAGTTTGACATTTTGGGAAATACACTTATGAGGCACTGGATTTTCTTGGCTGGGCACAGTAACTCAAGAAATAGTCATAACATAACACAGAACACTTTTACACTGCGTTTTTTGTATGTATCATGCAAATGAGATATAATGTGCTAATCAATCTAAACTAAGCTAAGCTAATCGGCTGCTGGCTCCAGCTACATATTAACAGGACGTAGAGATTTGAAAATGGTATAAATCTACCCAAATGTCAAACTACTGCTTTTAATACAGAGTTCTAAATCATCAAAGATCAGAAAACAAATTGACAAATACACTTCCAATTCCCTCTCTGTCCCCCCTCACTAATCCCATAGTGAAGAGTGTTTTTCCCAACTAGAATCTGAAGAATAATGAAAAAGAAAAGAAAACTAACAAAATGAATCTCACTTTTTTCCTTTTTTGAGTGCGACTGTTTCACTGAATATGTTTAGTAAGTTTACACTGCAGATCCAGAACATGCCCACTAGAGAGTGCTGTGTAAAAGTGTAAAAAGTTCTGCAGATCTCTCATCATGGCAACAGTTTATGGTGGGGTTATAGCTTGGACTAATGACGTGTGTGGTTGTGCTTTTGGTATATTTCAGTATCAGTTATCTTAATTTAGCTGTGAATTCAATCTGGAATGGATGTGTGTCCCATTAAAGTTCACATTTTTTGTTCTGAAATAAAATTTTAATTCATATTGGCCCAATTACGGAAGTTGATCATCAAGAATAAAAAAAAAAAAATCTGATTGACTTGGTGGTGAAACTTTGTGGTTATTCTGATAAAATGATCAATCCTTAATCGGAAAGACTTACAAGAAAGTAGAGAGATTAAAACTGTAACTCTTTTACACCTTGTGGTCAAGAATCTGAACACCCTGAAGGTCCAATGTCTCAATTTTGGGTTGGAAAGGATGTTTTTTTCCCTGTAGCTGCAATGCACCACCAGTTTGTCGTGACTGGAAGTAGGGAGGGGTGTGTGTAATGGATGTAGTATATTTTGGGGTGTGAGTGTATGCGTAGGATATCGTCTCAAATTGACAAATTGACTTAAACCCACGTGTTTCTCTGTGAGTGTATTTCTACTCTTCCTCGAACATTATTTTGCACAGATTTTGAAGAGACTAATTAGCAAGTGGAAAATAGGATTTAAAGTTCATAAGTAGTCAAACACAATTAAATACCAGGGCTTTGTGTAAATAAAGTATATATATATCTATACATTTTAAACACAATGACTTTTCCCAGAAATCATGTTCCATGAACATCATGAGACAAATGATCTTTTATTAATTTTTAGGCACACACAAAACAGACATGTTGGCAACAACAAATACAAAGATCATAATATAGGCTACTAATAAGCACATAGCATACACATATACAGTGCGCTGCCACATGCACACATTAAATACTGTATTGTGTCTTGTTCGGTGTGAATGATCTGTCTTTTTATCCATCCTTTTTGTACCTGTAGAGTAAATCTCATACTTTGAAACTTGCCAGTTCTCTTTGCTATGCAAAGAACTTCTATTACAAGAATGGCTGACCCCAAAAACACAGCACATTGTAAATCACACACTGATGGAGGAAATATTTTCATTACTCTTTGGACATGCTTTTGTTGTTCCAGTAGGCTACATGCAGGTGTATTGCAAGTGCACAGTCCGTCTTGTTGATCCCCTCAATATACTGAAACCACTGTACTGACTACAGAGGGCAGCTGTTAATTGTTCATCTCAGGCTGTTGAGAATAAAACATTAAATTTTTATCCAAGTTCAACCATACAATGTTGCACATACTATATGAATATATTGTCTCATCCCTGAAAAGTCACTGTTATTATGTTGAGGGTTTTGAAATTGTGTCACACTGAATATGTGCTGATTTTGTTGATTGAACATCTTCATCAATCATAATAACCTTAATATAAACAGATATTCCTATGACATTTAGTGTGAATGTCCAGAGCAGCTTAGTGACTCTGTATTTAGGGTTATTTGTCTCCTGTGGCTTCACGAAAATATAATTATATTTCCCTTTCCTCCAAGGAAAACGGTCATTTTTTTCTTCTGCTATCATCCTAGGGCAGATGTTTACATTCGTAAAGCAGATTTTATTCCAAATGTATAAGGGGTAGCGACAGAGGTTCATAGCTGAACTGAATGCGCTCATTGCGGTCGGCCCCCTTCCCCAAACACGTGCTCGTTACATTTTAGTCTTTACCGAGTGCGTGCACGTACCTCGGCCGTACCCCTCCCGTCCCAGCAATAGTCAGCCTTGCTTTTCCTTTTCTCTGCTCACCAAACACAGACAGCAGCGTCAAGTCAACGGTAACCACCAAAACGGAAGTACTATTTTACATTTTTAAAAATCACTATTTCTAGGGTTGACATTTTAGACCCTTCAGAGACATGTGCGTCGCACTGAGGAAAGTTAATACAATCTGGGGTTTATGGCCCTTATACAATGATGTTTAGTAGGCTAAGTTACCATTTAGCACAACTACTCAGCTGCAGTTGGAATATTTTTTTCCTCCAGCTGGATAGAAAAACAATTTCCAGAAATAACCTTAAACAGAGTATGGCAAGTGTTGCTTGACTTGTAGGGTTTATGTTTGTTTTAAGAAATATAGATGCTGTGCTCAAATGTGAAGGCTATTCATCCATCCATCCATCGTCAACCGCTTATCCTGAGTACAGGGTCGCGGGGAAGGCTTAATCGTCAAAAGCCCCAAATGTGAGAATGGTGATTTTGTGAGAGGCTTAAATTAGGACAAGGGTTAGTTGGGGCTGTAGTCTTTCTAAATATACATGTTTGGCAATGTAAATTTGAATACTTGCTGTAGCCTAATTTAGAAGACCAATAACACTACAGAGATCATCATGCCTTCACTAAATGCGGTGCCATATATGCTACTGTATAGTTTTATTAGCCTAACCGCACATGGGGTTTTATTTTGAAAGAAAAAGGCGGAAATATTTTGGTTATGTTCTGGCGTAGCCTACTTCACACTCACACACAAAGGCTACACATAAACACACACACCTCGCCTGCTGGACGGCTGTCAGCGCACAGAAGATGGTGGCGGCTGCGGCCACTGCGTTGCCCACTGTGCCTGGATAGCGCAAACAACATTTAATGCAGGTGTCGACGCTGCTGTGGCGCACATATCATGGTCAGATAACGGAGATAAAACAATCTCATCTCACTGTGATGCAGGGAATGGAAAGGCTGGACAATGCAGCCGTACTAATCCATCATATCTTTCTTGGATTACAGCGGGATTATTTGAAGGTATGAAGATATTCCCTTGTGTGTCCCATGCAATTCAATTAAAGTGGCTGGATCAAGGCAGCACCCGGGTTTGACCTGTGGGACTGTTGGTGTGTGTGTGTGTAGGGGGGGCGGTCGTGGAGCGGAGGTGGAGATCTTTTAATTACTGACTCTCTCCGGGCTTTCGTCGTCTGCGATTTAGAGAGGGTGGCAGGCGAGCTGCCGTGAGCAAACTTTACTTAAGACAAAAACAAGGATTCATAATTCATGTAGTCTGCTGTGGGATGCATTTTCTTTTTCTCAGATGTCCGGGAGACACAGAATAAGCTACAACCAGGAACCGGCATGGTCAGGACATCCGGACAATCTGGCTATTTTCTTGGGGCGCTCTGTGACGATGAATTGGCGACTTTTGGTGTGACTCTGGATACCAAAGCAATACCAATCAACAATGAACCGTGACTGTTTGGTAGCATTGGAGGAGCGCGTTTACGCACGAGAAAGCAAAGCTCTTGCAATAAAAACAATCAGTTAATCAGGTACTGCGCACCACCTCTTATGCATTTGTCTATTGCAGACCTCCGCGCACACCATACCCTCTCTATGTTAGGAGACGTAGCGGTGGTGGAGACTCCGGAGTATATAAAAAGTCAGGAAAGGACTGGGCTCTGTCAACGGAAATAGTTATGATTAGGCCCTGAGGCAAGGAGCATGTGGGTATAAATAACGTTCTTAAGGCAGTAATGTGGAGTTGAGCTGCGCCTTAAAATTCAAAGCTGGCGCTTTCGATCAAGACCGCAAACAGCAGAGCTGAGTCAAAGCAAGCACAGCAGAGGAAGTGTTTTGGATGAAGTTCTACTCAACCCTGTAAACAAAACGTGGTGCAGTTCAGGAGGTGTTAGTGTATATTCCCAGTGGAACGGTGTTGACACACAACAACATTAAAACTCCAAAACACATTTTTACTGGATTGGATATTCCACATGCAGTGACCACAACTTCTGAAGAACCCTTTAAAACAATTTCTTCACTTCTGTGGTGTTTCTTTTTCATCTTTTCTCTTTATGCACATGTATTTTGTAATTTTCTTAGTTTTCCCAAGTATTTTTCAAATGGGGGAAACAGTGTTGTGTGGACTGGAACAGAGCACGCAGTGAGTGAACCTTGCAGTCTCAAGTGTGTCAAAACAGACGGGAATGTAGAGGAATGCAGGGACTGACGTCAAGAGGGACAATAATGAACTATTCAAAATCTGCTAACTGAGTGGAATTTTTGACAAGATTTTTGTTTGTTCTCTCCTTTTTCATTCTTAAGAGTTAACAGTCATTGCCCTAGGTGTTATACTGTGGCCACATACTTTGCCTTACTTTTTGTCTAACTGTCCCTTCTGCAAAGTCTTTGAATTTGGATAGATTAAAAAGCAGCATGGCGTCCCCCCAACATCAACAACTGCTGCCTCACAACACAGAAGTGAGCTGTGACTCAAGTGGAGATGGCGGTGTCTCAGTGAGGATTGGCAGTAGTGGCAAACACAAGCATGGAGGCGGACCGCTGGGTTCAATCGGGGGAGGCTTTGTTGGGGGATCCAAGCACTGCAAGTACAGCATCTCCTCCAGCTGCAGCTCCGGAGAGTCTGGAGTCAGGAGGCCAGCGGTTAAGAGCTTTCGCACACAGAAGAAGATGCCTCAGCTTTTTGAAAGATCTGCTGGTCATTTCTGGGACCCAAAGTTTGACTCTTCAATCTTGGAAGAGGCCTGCAGGGAACGGTGTTTCCCTCAGACCCAACGGCGCTTCCGCTATGTGCTCTTTTACCTGGTTACTGCTGGCCTCCTGTGGGGATTGTACTTTGCTGCCAACCCTTCCCGCTGTGACAGGACTGCCTTTCTTCTTCCCACCGCGGCTTTCCTTGTTTTCTGCCTCCTTCTCTTCCTCTTAACTTTTACTAAGCTCTATTCTCGCTGCTACAACCAGGCATCCCTGCTGCTCATCCTTGTAACCTTCATCCTGACCCTGGCCCCCCAGATCCAGACGTCAAGCTTCAGGGACCCGGAAAGTCCCACACCCGCACTAGATGTGGAGGAATTCAGTGGCATGGGACCCACATATAACCTGTCTGATAAGCTTGTGGGAGGTAGCAATTGGTCCCCCTGTCTTTCTCCTGTAGGCACCTTCTCCCTCTGTATAGAGGTTCTTCTGTTGCTATACAGTGTTCTCCACGTTCGCCTTTATGCTTCTCTCCTGCTCGGGTTTCTCTACTCTGTCTTTTTTGAGAGTGTGGGCTGGCTGCATTTGACACAGGTAGGCGATAGCTGGAACTTAGCCTCTCAATCAGACTGGGATACATTAAGTTGGCTGGGCCCAGCCAAAGCCCTGCTCCACCTCTGTGCCCACGCCATTGGCATCCACCTATTCATCATGTCTGAGGTCCGGTCACGCAGCACCTTCCTTAAAGTGGGACAAGCTATCATGCATGGCAAAGACCTGGAGGTGGAGAAAGCCTTGAAGGAGCGAATGATCCACTCTGTTATGCCCCGAATCGTGGCTGATGAGCTAATGAAGCAGGGCGATGAGGAGATAGGTGATAGTTCTGTAAAACGATACTCCACCAGTGGTGCAGCAGCCGTCATCTCCAGCCCTAAAAACAATAAGCGCAAGAAAACCTCCATCCCTCGAGGCCAGATCATCTTCAGACCCTTCAACATGAAACGGATGGAGCCCGTCAGCATCCTCTTCGCAGACATTGTGGGCTTCACAAAAATGTCTGCCAACAAGTCTGCTCATGCCCTCGTTGGGCTTCTAAATGATTTATTTGGACGTTTTGATCGACTTTGTGAGCTCACTGGCTGTGAAAAGATCAGTACTCTAGGAGACTGTTACTACTGTGTGGCTGGTTGTCCTGAACCAAGACCAGACCATGCCTACTGCTGTGTGGAGATGGGCCTCGGGATGATTCAGGCTATTGAACAGTTCTGCCAGGAGAAGAGGGAGATGGTCAACATGAGGGTGGGAGTCCACACGGGCACTGTACTGTGTGGTATACTGGGCATGAAACGCTTCAAGTTTGATGTTTGGTCAAACGACGTGAACCTGGCCAACCTAATGGAGCAGCTGGGCGTGGCTGGGAAGGTCCACCTGTCACAGGCCACTGCCAACTTCCTAGATGACCGCTACCAGCATGAAAGCGGACAAGTCATTGAGAGAATAGGACAGAGTGTGGTGGCTGATCAGCTCAAAGGTAGGTTCTCTGTGAAAATATGGTATGAATGATCATGAGATGTAGAGATGTAGTGAGTTGAGTAAATGTTGCTGCTTTTTGCAGTTTTATTTTATGTCTATAGCTCTTTTTTTAAATTTTGGTTTGCAGTTTGAAAAAGATAGACCTGTTGTTGTTTCCTTACAAGAATAATATAACTCCAAGGCCAGCAGCAGTTGCTACAAATTGGCTGCAATTATTCCCCCATGAGCCCACAAACATTCCAAGGCATTATTTGGGTAGTGTGTATGTTGTATAATGCCTCTCAGCCATCCCTAGAGGAAATGCCTACTTATGCCAGCATATCAGCAGTTCACTCCCTAGGTGGATCAAAACAGTCGCAGGGGTAACATGTGCATAGGTCAAGGTCGACACCCAGGACCAGATGGCAGGAGTTTGAGTTTGTTATAAGTGCCCTCTGTGGTGTTGATATTATGTGACTGTATCACAGAGGGACACCATCTTCTTTCCCATCCTCCCCTCCACCCCGTCTCTACCCACTCTTTGTTCTCTTGTTCAATCACATTGCCTTCCAGACATCCTCAGTGTGTCCTGTTCTCTTAACCTCGCTCTGAACCCCAGGGATTGCTTTACAACTTAATACAACTGTCGCCTTCTCTAATAAAGATTTGCCTGCAACTTTATCTTCACCTCGCCATCTTGTTCTCTTTTTTTCCTTGCCTCTAAACTGCTTGACTGTAGCTTTTTATTTGATATGTTTATGCAAATCACTCCAGTGTAACTAAATGTTGGCTTAATGGCTCTTTTCATCATTTAACGCTTGCTGATCCATTATCACCCAGTGTAAGTGAAGTGACAGTTTCTGACTACGGGATGGCAGATGGCGTTCATCTGCCCTTCTGAATTAGCATTTTAGGTTTATTTTTGTTTCAGTAGATGCAGAATGTGCTTCCTTGGAGACTGTCTTACTTTGTCCAGCGCATTTTAGGGAGGTATTAATATGAACGTTGATATTTTGTGCGTACAAGCAATACAAAACACATTATACCTATATGACTCAGATTTCCATTGTTTCAACTTGAAAATCAGTGCTGTGAGCAGTCAAGAAACAAGACTGAGCAAAAGTGCCTCTTGTTTACCAGCCCACATGAGTGTATTTCACCCTCATCTGTTAGATTAATGAGTGACTTTCACTCGTGCCTTTTTTTTATTGAGAGGATAAATGTGTTACCTACAGTGTTATCACCCCCCTCTTTCTCCTCCACTCCTTTCTTGCCTCCATCACAGTTCCCCTCCTAAGATTTATCCTCTCTCTCTAGATCTGCTGTGCCAGTGAGAGAGCTGGCTGTCAGGAGAGAGTTGTTCTCCGGTGCTGTAAAATTCCCTTCAGTGTCTGCGTTAATCACTTGGGTAACATTGCAGCCAGGCATGGATCATTGCTGCGACTGGTCCCTGTTGCCTGACTCAGAAGTAAATTGTTCTGACCTTGCCACTGATTGTTGCGCAGCTGTCTCCTATGTATTTTTGATGTCCTTTTGGAGTTACTGTGATGTTTCAATTTCTCACAAACAGATTTTGGCTCATGAGTGTTTCTATAGTTCCACTGTAACTTCAGACTGAGTCTATAGAGTCAAGTTTTCTGTCTCATCCTGCAAGTGCACGTGTTATTTTTACTTATATCTTACCACTGTGTAGTTGTAAGCTATTTGTGGCTCATTGTAGCAAAGGTTCACATGGGGTGCAGCCACATGTGGCCAGTTGAGTGTTACAGCCGCATCCTGTTGGCTCCTCATCACTGTCCCAAGGACTGTGGTTTTAGCAACAAATGGACATGTGAGTCTATTTACATTCCAGTGGGCAGTAGCTGGTGTTCAAGGTTAAGTAAGACAGTTTGACAACTCTCAACTAATCAACTTAATTTCTCAACTTATTTTCATTACCACTTAATCTGACAATCATTCTTCTAAATCCATTTATTATTTTGTCTATAGAATCACAAAATAGTGAAAGAATACCTGCTACAGTTTTCCAGGGCCAAAGATGATGTTTTCAGATCGATTGTTTTGTCCGACCAACAGTCCAAAACCCCAAAATATTTTATTTTTATTTTTTATTTACAAGGATATAAGGACATAGAAAAGCAGTAGCAATCTCACTTCTAAGAAGCTAGGATCAGTGAATGTTTAATAATAGTGGATACATTTTGTCACTATCAAATTTGTTGATAAATGGTCTGATGATTAACCAATTTATTATTTCACCGCTAGTTAGCATAAAGAATAACAAACAACTTTTTATCATTATCAATGTGCTAATTATTTTCTAAACAAAAAAACCTGAAAGATGTACCAACCAGAGAATTGAGTAGAGTAGTTCTGCTTAAAAAATTGCTTAAATGATTAATTGATCATCAAAATAACCTCTGATTGATTTTCTGCCAATTGATTACTTGATTAAATTTATCCTTATTTGTTACATTTGTATATATAGATATATAGATGATTAAATGATTAATTAAGAAAATAATCTGCAGAATAAGGGATATGGTTAGTTGCAGTCCTATCATAAACCACAACATAGCCTATTTGAAGGATTTACTGAATTGATCTGAGCCCACACCAACCCACAACACTCTCTGTACGACGTTCTTGTTGTGTGTTTGTCAAGGGGCTGCACATGAGGCAAGATCTGGTTGTGTTGTGCATTTTCCTTACTGGAAATGGGAGCTATATTTGCCTCCATTTTCCTGTAAAATCCCTGTCCATGTCCTTCTTTTGTGCTTAATGCAGAATGATGGCACCTGCCAGACTGTCAGAGTGGCCCTATTATCTTTCTGTTGATGACCATACAGAGCCAGAGATGGTTCTTCTAGCAGCGTTCGTTTCCAAGGGAAATTAAAGGTTTTGTGGGGCTGTATGTGTTACTAAAAGAATGGAGAAAATTAGAGGCATTACCAGTTAAATCTGCACCACTACAATAGTATTACAGTTGCTTACAGTATCTTCGCCTAGACAGCTTCAGTGGCTTAGTGGCAACCATTACAGTGGCCATAATCTATCTTTTTACAAAAACAATGTATCAAATGACAAAATGAAAACAAGGTTGCTCCTAGTGATGAATCTACAGACAATTGACTTGAATCTGCAGTTCTCCTCTGCTTTACAGAGCTTGATAGTTTCAGCTCATTGTTTAGCTATCCTGCCTGCAACTTAACTGTTTTGGTTCACTCTCACCGCTCACATATAGTAATTTTCTGCCACACAACAGCTGTTTTGAGCTATATAAACCCACTATACACTACCTGTGCTGCACCAAACAGACACAGACACAGTTATCGGCTAGCTGTTGTATGCATCTTCCCTCCTCTCTCCAGCTGTGAATCTTCCAGGCTGTTGCTGTGACTCAGTTTAAATGAGTAAAAACACAAGACAAATTAACCAAATGAACATTAGCTGCTCCACTTTGAAGATCTAAAGAACACTTTCATTAATTTGAGCTTCTGACAGCTCTTTTGTAAAATTGCACAGCCCCTTTCCACTAATACTCATTATGTACCAGGTTCTGAATAACCAGCCACCTCAAGGTAAGGCATGTTCTCAGGTTCAGTTTGAAATTGTGAGCATGACCTTTGCTAACTTAACTGCTGAGCAAAGCCGTGCTGGTATATCCCTTCGCGACCTGCTGTCTCCTCCCTTTACCCTGTGGGAGATTTCTAATAAAGCAAGACTGGATCATCTCCTTGGCTAAAGTGATTAATGTTAGTAATTCTCCATCATCTTATCTTCCCACATTGGCCTGGTGTTATCCCGACCACGAACACATCAGCCGTCTGCCAGCAAGCCGTTTTTATCACACCGAATGATATTGATTGCCTATAATGAGCCTGTCACGGCTGTGTTTATTTATGATGAAGCAAAGAGAGAGATTTTCATGTCATGCGACATCAAAGAGAATCAAAGATAGGCCAGGGGTTGTGGTGGCTATTAAATAGGAGATTTTCTGGTTCTTGATATTAATTTGCCTCAATTCCTTGTCCACCTTTAAGCCTTCAGAACAATAATTGATTAGCTACATTTGGATTGATTTTGAGCACAGAGCAGGACTTGGCTGCAAATTGTGATGGTGATGAATGTCCTGTGTCCCCTTCACTCTGACCCTATTACAGTTCTGCAGCAGGTATTAATTTTTGGGAGAGCCAGTTGTGCTTTTTGGGACATGTACACACACTGTGATGTGTGAGTTTGTACACAGTCACACTCACACATCCCTTCTCTTACCCTTTGAATGCCATTCCATAGGGATGTACTGTCAGTCAGCAAAGTGTACAGTATTTCCCTGAGGCTCAATGGAGAATTACTTCTAATGGCTGCTACCTGTGACCTTGATCACGATAAATGTTTTGAGGTTACATGAATAGAAGCAGGGGTGGAGAAATTAAGGCGAGAGAGAACTAGACATGGAAATCAGTGAACAGCCTTTAACTGTGGTCCTGTTCTGGCCCCTGAGACTCGGTTTTTGGTCCAATGGATGGTGCTACTAAAGAGCAGAACTGCAGCAGCATTGCCTAACCACTACTTCGTTAAGCCACCATGTAACTAGACCACAGCATTGAGCTCTAGTGTGAACCACATGCAGAGAAAGGGAGGCTGTGCACATTTAAGCCTCTGGATTTCACACCTAAAGTACTGCGTGTGTGTTTGCCCGTGCTGTCAGTCTACACACTGCTGTACTTGACAAAAAGTTAAACAGATTGGCTTTTTCACCCTAATATGTACACAGCTGTCTTCTCCCCCTGCCAACTATCAAAATACCTGGCATAATTTTCGTCTAGCCTCTTGAGTCCATATCAGTATGCACACACAGCATTCAACCATAATGTTGAAAGACGGGGGGTTGATAGTGAAGTGGAGGGCTCTGAGTCGAGCGGCTTAGTACTAGGAAGGGTTAAGGACGGCCAGAAATACAGTTGGAGCATGGTTAGGCTGTGGTGGCAGCTGTAGGGATGGTTTATAAAACCAATG